TTGGGGTGTAATACTAATAATAAGTGTTGCCTTTAATTTAATCAATAAAATAAATTGACTTCATTAATTTTTTTGAACCACCTCTTAAGAAAATCTAAAAAATATGAATGGAATGATAAATCACAAGTACAAACTCATCATATTTTTTGCATTTTAGATAGGATTTATTCAGCAAAATTTAAAGGTGACGTCATCAATTTTTTTAGGAGGGATGAACAAATACATTTTGAACAAAAGTTTACCATGCTTATAATAACATTAAAATATTCCCAAGATTTCAAAGCATTCGGTTTTGTAATTCCTGATTAAATCGATAAAATAAATTCACGCCTTCATTAATTTTTTTGAGTCACCCTGCATATGCAAATCCAAAAATATGAATGGAATGATAAATCACAAGTACAAACTCATCATATTTTGTACATTTTAGATACGATTTATTCGGCAAACTTTTGAGCTGACGTCATCAGTTTTTTGTAGAAGATAACCAAATATATTTTGACTAAAAATTTATTATGCTCTTTATAACCTTAAAACATCTGCAAGATTTCAAAGCATTCGGTTTTGTAGTTCCTGATTAAATCAATAAAATTAATTTACGCATTCATTAATTTTTTTGAGTCACCCTGTATATGCAAATCGAAAAAATTTGAATGGCATGATAAATCACAAGAAGAGACTCACCATATTTTGTACATTTTAGATAGGATTTATTCAGCAAAATTTTGTGGTGACGTCATAAACTTTTTAGGGGGGACGACCAAATACATTTTGATCAAAAATTTACCATGCTTATGATAATTTTAAAATATCTTCAAGATTTCGAAGCATTCGGTTTTGTAGTTCCTGAGTAAATCAGTAAAATAAATTTACGCTTTCATTTATTTTCTGGAATCACCCTGTATATGCAAATCCAAAAAATATGAATGGAGTGATAGATCACAAGTACAGACTGATCATATTTTGTACATTTTAGATATGATTTATTCGGCAAATTTTCGAGCTGACGTCATCAAGTTTTTGGAGGGGATAAGCAAATATATTTTGACTAAACATTTATTATGCTCTTTATAACCTTCAAACATCTGCAAGATGTCAGAGCATTCCGTTTTGTAGTTCCTGATTAAATCAATAAAATATATTTACGCATTCATTAATTTTTTTGAGTCACTCTGTATATGCAAAATATGAATGGAGTGATAAATGACAAGTACAGGCTCATCATATTTTGTACATTTTAGATATGATTTATTCGGCAAACTTTCGAGCTGACGTCATCAAGTTTTTGGAGGGGATAAGCAAATATATTTTGACTAAACATTTATTATGCTCTTTATGACCTTAAAACATCTGCAAGATTTCAGAGCATTCGGTTTTGTAGTTCCTGATTAAATCAATAAAATATATTTACGCATTCATTAATTTTTTTGAGTCACCCTGTATATGCAAATCCAAAAAATATGAATGGAGTGATATATCACAAGTACAGACTCATCATATTTTGTACATTTTAGATATGATTTATTCCACAAACTTTTGAGCTGACGTCATCAAGTTTTTGGAGGGGGTAAGCAAATATTTTTTGACTAAAGATTTATGATGCTCTTTATAGCCTTAAAACATCTGCAACATTTCTTCAAAGCATTTTGGTTAGCAGATTAAAAATTAAATTTCAAAATGTTGTTTTATAATTTTGATTTTTTTTCCAAAAATCTGGACGTTTCGGGTGAAAAGTCGATTCGGAGTTGTAAACTACATGTGTAGGACTATGTTATTTTATACAATTGAAAACCCATTTACTATGTACAATTTTGAAGTGACGTCATCGCATTAGTGGTGGGGATGATTAGACAAATTTTGGTTAGCGTTTTACCATCTACATGATATTCTTAATATAAGTACAAAATTTCACAACAATCGGTCGAGTACTTTCGGAGATTATCTGTCTAATAAAAATCCGGGGGCAGACGGACAGACGGACGGACAGACGGACGGACGGACAGACGGACAGACAGACGGAAATGGGAGACCTATTTCTTCGTCTTCTAGGGGTCATGAAAGATCGAGAAAACGTAAAAGTAGAGTCGGCCGACGGACTCGATTACAATACTTCCTTTGCTTACGCTCGGGAAGTAAAAATTGATGACGTCATCTCAAAATTTTCTAGAATAAATTCTATCTAAAATATGCAAAAAATTAGAAGCCCCACAGTTTTCGTCATAACTTCTTAGACCTCAATATCAATCAGTTATCACAAACTGAAAACCGACATTGAATAGTTCCTAATCTTATTTTTCTTTTTGATCTGACAACCCCTCAAAAAACTTATCAATATTATCAACAATACCGCTTAAGATTGCTGTAATTTCATATAATACTGACTTTACAGCTTACAGATGGCATTTCAAACGAGAGGACTTTAAGGAAATACGTCAGTCAGTGACAGTTAAGCATGAACTACTTTTTGATATTGACGGATATTTGATGTGCAAGAAGTTATAACGGAAACTGTATACTTATGCTTTTTTAGAACTGCTTATCAGGATGTCTCAAAAAAAAAAATGAATTAGATTTTATTGATCAATTTAAGAAATAAAATAAAATTTTATAATTTTTTGGAGCTGAAGTTCTGCCTAAACAACCTTATAGGATTTTTTAAATACAGGAATATTCTACAAATTTATTTATTATTTTCGAACAGTTTCCAAGTAATTCTACATTTAATAGCTTCTATTTTTAACATTAAAATATTTTAAACTAGAAATGACATCATTTTTTTATAAAAGGATACATTTTGATTGGCGATTTACCACGCTTACTATAACTTTAAAACAATTGCAAGATTTCAGAGCATTCAGTTTTGCAGTTTCAAAGTTGAATTGTAAAATGTTACATAATTTTGATTTTTTTCAAAAACTAAGAATGACTACAAAAATCTAAACAGATTCAAAAACTACATGTGTAGGAGGAGTATATTATTTTATAAAATTTAAATAACATTTACTATATACAATCCTGAGGTGACGTCATCATATTCTTGGTGGGGATGGTTAGACAAAGTTTGGTTAATGTTTTAGAGCTCGTGTATTTTCTCATGAACCGCGAGCTGCGTAAAGCGGAGCTAAATCTTGGCGGGAAATTTCAAAAAAGGAATTTTATTATTATATTATTATTTGTAATATTCAATGTCATAAACGACATTTTTAATTATTTAAAATCTGTCCATTTTTCGGTTTTTAAATGTATAGGGAACTAACAAAAAATTGATTTTCACATTTAAAATAAAAAAGGAAAATCCACTTTTCCTATATCAGTTTTATGACATTAATGAGTAATTATTAGCTGCTGTGAATAATTTGGAAAAATTTGACAACCTCAACAAAAATAGAAAGGTTGGTTCATAGAAAGTGTCAGATTAATATTATACAGGGAACATCAAATGATTAAAGTATCTACGTTTTCTGTGATTTAAGATCCCTCATTTTATTAAAAACGGAAATTATTTTTTTTAACTTGTCGTTTATATGAAAAACGGTTGAGTTCCACTTAAAATTATTTGTAGGCAAACGATAGAATTTTTAAATGTGACAAATTGAAAAACACATGTTTTTTATGTTTTTTAATCTTTCCCTTACTATAGTTACCGACGGTTTTACCTCATCTTTATTTATAATCAAAGTATATGTTGTTATCTACTAATTACTAATTTCATCAAATGTGTATGAGTAGAATTTCTTTACGTGTAGTAAAATTTATAAAAAAATCTCAAAAAGATGACAGGAACTTTCTGGCGCTTTCGCAATAGAGCAAAATTTAATGCTTCACCTTCTTTATTTATTTACTGCTCAATAAAAAAAAACGAACAGAGTAAGACGCGATTTATAAAAAATACGTGGTATTACATAATGCTTGTATTACATAATTGGTCTTTATGGTATTCAAACAGTAGGTATTAGTATTCACTATCCATTGTATTTTCCTTAAATAAACTATTTACTGTTTAAATAATATTTTTATACAAATCGCCTCTAAAGTGTTCAAGTACATATTTATTTAATTATTGTGCCCCGCTTTATTTTGTTTTTATTTTTCAACCTAACGATTGTTAAAATCTAAGTATACAACGTTAGGTTTACTTAACTGTTTCATTGTTATTAGCTGATTTTCCCTTATCAACACATACCCAGAGTGATAATCGGACAAGTAAACTATTACATTTCTGAATGTCCTCACAAGACTGAAGAAAAATCCAAAACAAATATTAATAACAATTTCAGTAACTGCATTAGTTGATCATTGTGTTAAAAATAAAAACATGATTTATTTTCATTCTACACTTAGTTAAGTCTGAACGAGTTCGTTACTGCCTCTACTTCAAACTAAAACAAAGTATCTACAAAACGCAACTTTTTTGTGCCACCCAAGTTCGTTAACAATCCTTTACATTGTAAACAAAAATTACGCAACTAAACAAAGAATGATTTACGTATTTCAATAATATTGGTTATTGTCACTGTGTACGTGATGGTTGAGGTGTTTGCAGCTAAAGCGCTCTGTTGAAGCCATAAAGACTTAACAGTGTTTGTGTTACCGTGAAAGAAAAAAGTGGAATTACTAGGATTATGGTACGTTACAAACATCAATAAAATATAGATTTCATGCAAAAACAGAAATTATAATAATTATTTTAATACGTTCAATTATTCTGCTGTGCTCGCCTTCCTGATACTTAGTTTCATTAATTATTAAAATTATTTATTCTGCAGTATTTAAATCTATTTTTAAATTTAAAGTGACTAAGATTCTTATGAAACAGGTTATGTCTAATTGAAATCACTTGTTACCACTATTTATTTATATGCAGCGAATTTATTAAAACAGTTACACAATTTGAAAATATATTGTTAATTTATATTTAACAATTCTATTTTCAAGGTGTTGATTGCTTAACTAGTTGTACTAATTAAATTACAAATTGCTACATGCATTCAACAACTCACCATACTTAGCTGCTTTTCTTCAATCATGTGCTTGACCTTGGCTAACAAAGCGTCTTCTCTGACTCTTGCTGCATCCCTGACTTCTCTAATAATATCGGCCAACATTCCTGGTTCATATTCTCTATCAAAATGTCTCGAATTCTGTTGCTGCTTTAACATATTCAGCTCTATTCTCATTTCTGTCACTTCTCTGTTAAGTTTTCTATTGCTTTCTTTCAAAACATTGATTTGATGTGTTAATTTTTCAATAATCTTGCTTTCAAATGAATTCACACTATCATCACTGTCATTTGGTAATCCTGGATCGGAATACCTTCGCTTACTTACATCATCACTCTGGTCAGCATTAGCAACTGGTAAACTGAGATATTCATTATTGTCACCATTTACTGAAGGCATCATCTGTTGCTTTGTAGCACCCATGAAATTGAGGTTAGGATTAGAAGGGAAATAATTCGCGTAATTTATAGGATAAATTGGTAAAGACATAGGCTCTGAAGGATTTGAATAGTTTAGATATGAATAATAAGCCGTGATATCAGGTATACTTATGTTCTGGTAGTTGTTCGGATTAGTGGGAAAATAACTGCAATTTGACATGTTAAATTCCAATGGATTTAATGTGGCGGGTTGAGGGGGCTTCTTGTCTCGGTTTTTCTTTCTTTTAGTGACACTTGGTGGGTTTCCATTGATTTCTGGAGACATTTTCACTATCACAGTAACATTTAGGTTAAACAGGAGAAAAAAGTGAACGGTAACCTCTAACAATCTGTTGCATTGAAATTATTTTGCCACGTACTTTTACTCTTGCTGCAAGAAAGGCAAAAAAAATAAATCTTCCTTTCGTCGAAATTAAAAAAGTAAACAGTTGTTCATACGTCACACATGAAAGTTTTGTTTTGACGCGAATTTTAATTTGACAAATGACATTAAAGGAAATTTCACAATCCAACAGATGTGGTGCCCCCTACACTAACTTTAAGTAACAAGTAACAGCTATTTTGAAAAGACATCGATGTCGAATTCTAATGTTCTGTATTTTTTGTATTCATTGACAAGAAAACTTAAAAATGATTATGAAGTTTAAACGTCTGCTTCATTATTATTATATTACTTTGATTCAATTGATCTGTGTTTAACTGATGTATTAATTAATACTGAATTTGTTATAGGTGCTAAATGAAAAATTTCTAAATTAATTTCAGCGTTGCAGTTAACAAAATGTATCAAAAACAAATTAATTTGTCTCAAAAAACTTCATATTTTTATTACAAATGTTCATTACTGAAATATTCAAATTTCAGGAGAAAAAGATATTTTGGATGCAACCCAACATACGTTAACAACCCTGACTTCTCTATTCTCACAAAACATATGCTCAAAATAATTGTATTTTGTGAAACAAAAATTAATAATTTCCTTTTCTATCTGCGTAAAATTTTTATACCGAACTTTTTGACCAAACTATAAAAACTGCTGTATTTCGATTAGCGATTTTGGAAAAACGATAGGAATTTCCGAAGCAACGAAGCCGAAAATGACTTCTGGATGCCGAAATCTACAAAAAAATGATGGAAAATGTCAAAGTGCCAAAATCAGTTTTATCTTATCAACTACTAGCCCCGCCCACCCACCCTCTATTTTCTTAGAGGGTATGTCATTTGCCAAAAACAGTACCACCTTAGGAAGTACGAGCCCCGCCCACCCCCCCTCTTCTCATTCTAACGACTAATTTTATGTCTGTTCAGTATAAGATCATTCATTTCATTCAGATCGGATAAAATCAGATTAAAAGTAGGTGTCATAATTTTAATTTTAAACTGTCAATTTGACTTTTAATAAAAAAATTTAGTTACAACCACGGTTGTACAACAAACGGCTTGTCGTGCATGGCCAACTTGGACTAATTTCTTTCTCGATCTCGCGATATTTTATGCATGAAAGCTTTGTTAAATATAACATTACAGTCTAGGAATGTACACACCAGAAACCAGTGTCGGATTGAGAACATGAGGTCCATGGGGAAATTTAGAAAGTAGGACCCTATGGTATTATACAGTGATCTTATTTGGGTGTTATTATTATTATTATTATAATTTTCAGTTTTGCCGGCGATATTCGCATTTTGAGAAAATGATGTCGTTTTTGGAATTTTGATAACACTATCAAGAAAATCAAAACTAGTAAAAAATTGTGGAAGAATATTTTGACAGAACTGCCCTCGCCCTTGAAGTAGAGTCCCACAAATTCCGTTTCTTTAAAAAATTATATAATCAGATTTTGCGATTTTCATTTTTTACTCATTGTTAACGATTATAAAGCGGAGTAATTAACATCCCCGCAACTCCTGCGTCTTTAAATATGAATATTTAAAGCACATAACTAACGGGAAAAACTGTAGACATTCTCAATTTCTCGGTATATGCTTAACTTCGACTGTTTATGTTTATACTTCAACTGCTGTTAGGACTAACTTATTAATTCATACTCAGTTCTTTTCAAAAACACTCATAAATTTAAAGAATTCGGCAAAAATGTAAAATGACGGATAAAGTTTGATTAACGATTTACCATTTTTCAAATAACCTTAAAATATTTGCATGATTTTACAGCATTCGGTTTTTGCAATTTCAAAGTTAAATTGTAAAATATTGTTATACAATCCTACTATTTTTCCAAAAATCTGGTTGCTATCTGGAATATGTTATTTAAATTTAAAAACCTTTATTCAGCAGAATTCTAAAATGACGTCATAATTTTTTGGGAAGGCCTTAAACCAACAAATTTTGATTACCGATTTATTGTCTTTTCTATAACCTTAAAACGTTTGCAGTATTTCAGTACATTCGCTTTTGCAATTTTAAAGTTAAATTGTAAAATACAATTTTGAATTTTCTCCCAAAAATCTCGCTGTCAAGGGTAAAAACTCAACACGGATTCTAAATTAGACATAATTTAAGAAACATTTGTTCTACACAATTATAAAATGACGTCATCTATTTTAAGAGGCCATCATAAACGAAAAAAAATTGATTCAACGATTTACCATGCTTACAAGTTTTCAGAATATTCGGTTTTAGAATTTCAAAGTTAAATTGTAAAATTGTAAAACTTTTTAATAAATAATCTTAGACATGAAATGAAATGTTTAAAAAATGCATTAAAAAAAACTTCAACGTCAAAATTGAAATTTTTTTTGTTTGCTTAAAACAATGATACAGAACTTTAAAATAGATGAAAAAGCAGGTAAAAAAAAATTGCTTAAATAGACGAAAAAAAATGTGAGGTGAAACGTCCGATTTTGCTTTCTGCTAACTTCAATTTAGAAATTTCATCTAAAACGTCCGATAATCCAATCCGAGTGCTTCAAATGAGAATTGGATTTGAAATAACAAACATACAAACAATGCTTTTGGAATCACCAAAATTTATATCTGGTAAATATAAATTAAAAAATATTTATTCGGCAAAATTGTAAAATGAAATGATTTACCATGCTTACGATAGCCTTAAAACGTTTGCAAAATTTCAATCTGAATGTGCAGAAGTATCTTATTTTATAAAATTTAAATAATATTTAGTATTGTAAATTTTGGAGACGACGTCAACAAATTGTTGGTAGGGATGAATAGCCAAATTCTGATTAGCGTTTTACCATCTACACGATATGCGTAATACACATATAAACTTTGACAATTGGTTCAGTAGTGTCGGAGATTATCTGTCTAATAAAAATCCGGACAGACGTCAGACACAGACAGACAGACGGAAAAAGAAGTAGACTGTTTCGGGGCCACCGGGAAATTTCCCGGTATCCGGGCGATACAATCCGACACTGCCAAAAACCAAACTCTTCCATAAGCGACAGTGATTTCTACACATCAGACAATAACATTTATGAGCAGTAGAAAAGATATCACTTTTTGAACTAAACTATTCGTGATTAATTGTTTTCTAATCTATAGCCTACCTGCGGTTTCCCCCATTATTCATCTCTATCCCAATCATGGCGAAGGGAGTCGAGTGCGGGATTGGGCGACCTCAGAATTCAAAATTCCCTTTTTATTTTTAATAACAAGTATCTTTAAGTTTTTAGACATTTAAAAATGTACGATTAATTATAGCTCATTTTTTAAGGGCATGGAAATATTCACTCAACTCAAAATACAGTTTTCATAGTTAATTAAATTCAATTTTAAATCAAGGTATGTTTTGCAAAAAAAAAGGCAACATTGGCGTTTTGTCAAAAACGTAGTTTTCTTAAAATTTCACATTATTGTTAACCTAAAATTTTTTGTTTCATGTAAACTTGGATAACACATCAATCTTTCTACTTGTGTATAATATGTTGCATACTTTTGTTCATGCCCTTAAAAAATGAACTGTAACTGTTATTTCCATGGAGGAAGGATGATCTATTCTACCTCCATGGTTCTCACCATCTCTACACTTCTGTTGTCATGGTCATTTTGAAAAATATTGGGCACCCTTGTACTTTTCTCGCAAACTTTAAGTGCAGTGCTTCCAATTAATATCGCCTATCTCCGAATTTTCATCTGATCTTAATATATCCTGCAGATTGCTGAAAAACTTTTGATAACATTTTTTGGTCACTTCGTATTTTTTTCCGAATGTCATCAATGTCTTTGTCCATAAAACATAAATTTGATGCAAATTTATGAACTCTATGAACATTGACGAGAGTGAAGTAATGGTTAAGGATTAATAACAAATGAAATAAATGTTGATATAATTTATTCACCCGAGTATACCTCCCAATAACACATCACTTTGATATATATTTAAATTCATATCACCTTCCAAATATACAAGTTTTCTTTTCTCTTAACATAGTAAAATTTTGCACTTTTATACATAATAAGACAGCAATAAAAAAGATCCCGGGCAAAACTTTATAAAAACATGGATTCGAATTTTATATTGCAACTTATACAACCTCTAAAACTAAAACAAATAAGTATCAACTTTGGGTAACACCAAATCACTTTTTTTGATTTTTTTTATTATTTAAAAAATGTCTTTGACTTTGTACCCTGTCTCTGCCCATAAATTGTGCCGAGATCTGATGTTACGCAAAGGTAAAACCATAATATTGCATTTGTAGTATGCTCATTATTTCTTAATCTAATCTCTAAATCTATAAATAAATTTCTGAAATGCTTTTGTTTTAACTACAACTACTAATCAATTGTATGGCAGTATTGCAATGTATCAAAAACGATGACAATCTTCATTAGAAATTATTTGGCTCTACTTTAGGTACTCATATGTTGACAATGTCGGTGAGTGAATGTTACTTATAAATAAAAATAATAAAAATTAACACGGATAAGTATATAATAAAATCAACAGCACACTACCATTATTCTAACACAATAATTTCATCTCTTAAACAAATATATATCACTACACTTCATAGCAGTAAAAAAGAGAGCTTGAAAATTATGCTGAGACTCTACTCGATGAGAATTATTTATAAATAAAAAGTTACGGAATTAACAATATAATTTAAAATGAAATGAGGAAAATTGATTGTACACGATGTATTTTTATAAATTACAATATTTTACAACAACTTTGGAAATGTACACATTCATAAGTTAGGCAATAATTATAAAATTACAAAAATATTAGGCTACAAACTAGGAATATTTAGTAGGAAATTAATTAGAAATTACAGAAAAATATACCACTTCAAAACTACAATCTGAATTTAAGCAAAAATACAATAGAAACTCGAAATTTGTGCTTCTTATTTTTTTCTAACAAGTTATAACAAACGTGAAGAAACAACACATGCAAATTGTTCAACCAGGGATGCCAGATTTGATTGATTTTGCGTTTCATTCCGTTACTGTTATATATTGCTTTTTAAAGTGTAACTTGTCAACACTTGCTTAAAAACTCAAAAAAAGAATCAACAATAAAAAAACTCGTTTTTTGTACTGCGCTGTACGGGACATGGGCAAAGCTGGGCTTTCAAACCGCGACCCCGAAATTGGGACGACTGGTAACCCTAGGTTAAACACGTCTAAACAAGCACATCTGTCTCTTCTCCAGTCTACTTTTACGTTTCTAAGACCCCTCATTTCAGTCGTTTTTGCGTTATTAAATTATCTTGTTAGTTACCATCCACGACAATCTGAACATTTTCCACTCTAACACTGTCCCCATTAATTATGATTAGCGGTATCATTTCAAACTCTCGTACAACTGCTGTGTCACCAGCAAACAGCTCTAGCTAAATGGGTCCATTTATATCCAGCGCCGTGAGTAGATCGGTACCCTGGAGAAGAAGGTTGTTAACGGGTGCATTCACTTCAAAATCCTGCTGCGTTAGATCGAGTAATGAAGGTATCGCACTTCCGTCTGGATCAAGCAACGAAAGAGAATTCTTCCTTATCTTGCTCTGCCTAGATTCAGGTCCGTCTGGTGGTTCTGCCGACAGTCTCTCCTCTTCCTTTTTTATAGACATCCGTACCATAGGATCATCCTATACAAAATAAAAAATATATTATTATAAAATAATAAAGCATGATACTAAATCTTCAAAGGCAATTCTGAGCAATTCCTGAATGTCAGTCTCAAAACAATCACACAACAAAAATTCCAACTGAAATTTTATCAACTTTAATTAGTTTCGTTAGAGCTCCCGGTTTTGCGTCCCCTGAATTAATATGTAAAAGAAAGCTTTGACCTAGATTAAATTTTTTATGCATTAAATGAAGCGCTGCACATAATTCCATTAAAATTGCTGAATGTGCCAGTGTTCAAGTCATGTACTCTTGTCCTCTTGTTTCATCGTCCACACTGGGAGTTGACTTTTTTTCTTGATTTATGAACTCTGTGATACCGATAGCTTTTAACACGTAATCAAACGCCTCGTGGCTTTACGTCATTAAACAAGAAAAGATTAAGGGAAAAAGAATGCTTATAATAATGTAAACAGATAAATACAACAAACATCATTCTTTACTTGAAATATCTGGTTTCAAGATCTATCAAACACAAGTTAACACAATTTACAACACTTCAAATGACCAGTTACAATAATTCTTGACACCTACTTTTAACAAACATTTGATCAAGTTGTCACCTAAAATAGGTTTCAAATAAATATTTACTACGGTATAAGTAATCATTAAGGATTCTGTCAATAACTTGATCTTGTGAACATGTTAGCCGATGTAATTTCAATTCTAGCTTAACAGGATTAATATTTACCGAGAATCTCATTATCTCTTCTAAAATGAACACTACAGTTTGCAAACTGCTATATGGACCTAAGTTAATTAAATACAAGTTTTAATTACAACTTACCTTGGACGCAGTAAGAAAGTAAGCGGGAAAAAACCCGATTTGCCGAGTAGTGAAAAAACAAATGCAAATATGTTGTTGGCAGGAAACATTTACAAAACTCGAAATCTAATTCCAACTTGTCGGTTAAATAAAATTATACGGTCAAATTTTCATATTTTTATTGCTTCCTTGTAGTCTTGTACAAAAGTACAAAATTAGGTTCATTAAGCGTAAATAAAACTAGTGCGGCGATATTCGGAGAATATGTACATTTTTAGGGATATATTTTTTTTGGTGACAATAAATTTTAATTTAATTATTTAATCAGACCACAAAATTTTATTTTATTACGTCGACGTGCATTGGAAGCGAGGCTTTTGTAGTTCTCACACTTCTACATTAAAATACAAAAGTTGGCGCTTCTTTGTCATTCTCATTAGTTTCCTCTTATTTGTTCTTCCATAAATGTTTATTTGCAATTAAAATTGAGCAAATGTACGTCCGTCTCTGTTATTCATAAATAGATGCAAAACGAGTTAGAATAAAACATTGGCACGTCTTATGACAAATGACTGAGTTTATTACTTCGCATAAAATAGTGGGATATACCTTTTTTCTTAAAAAGGTTTTAAATGTTGTTTTGGTGCGGTAATTGTTATTTATGTTACATGGAATAAAAATATTATTACCTACGTGTGTAAACCACACGAGAAAGGTAATTAATTGAAGATATTTATCTGCAACTGTAGGATAAATTTCACTTATCGTACTCATTTGAGTTAACAGTATACCACATTACTGCACTATTATGTTAACACATACGTATAATTTATCTTAGTCAAACGGGTAGCACAATTTAGGTTAACTTATATTTTTTATACAAATATATTTTTTTATTTATTTAAACTGACTGCGTCAAATTTAGACGCTGTACATACATTTTGTATGTTACACGAGGGCTCAAGTACTATTATTATCATAATTGTATCATTACATAACTCAGCTAAGTTTTTGTGAGTAAACTTCAGTCTCATATACTAGCAATGATTCTATTCCATTTGTATCCAAAATAATTATTATTTCTGACACCAAGATAAATTACTTGAACTTCTCGCACTAGTTGGATCATGTTAGGTTACCACAATCATTTAACTTAATTTTTAGTTTTTTAAATTTTCATCACCTCAAATGTGAACTGAAATGACGCATTTTAAATGAACTCCGTAAAAGATAATATTACCTAATGCAAAATTTGCACAACTTTGTAATTACTATAAAAGCTGGATGTCAAATTATGTCGTTAAATCACTTGAACGTTAATCATTTTCGTTTATTCTGTACACAATTTTAAGTGTGTGCTGCGTACAGATTAAGTGAAGTAAGTGTGGAAATTTTTTTAGCTCTCGCAGCATCAGAAATCTTGAACTATTGCAATTTCTTTGCTACCTGTCGATTTTTTTTTTTTTTAACCTGCAATGGACACGGACAGCTCTCCGCCCAGATTTAACGTGATTTGGAAAATTTAAAAAGTTGAATTAAGAATGTTTGCGCTTCTTTAAGGCGCGACACTCTATTAAGCGCAACAACTTGCGAACTAATAAGGAAATTTGTGCGTGTGAAGGACGGCAGCGCGAATATATGCTTAAATAACTGTTTTCAAACAGATCTTACCGATTGTACGTAAATTAAAGTAGTAGTACTTTATTTCCCTTAACTTTCATTTTTTTTATATGGGTCATATTTACAATGTACTAAATCAAGTTTTCCCCTTCAAGCTAAAAACAATAACGTTTACAAAATTTCAATATCCCTATCAGTTTTCGAAATACAAACAAGCGGAGTTTTATCTGGGACACCTATGTGTTGCACTTGTATGTAAAAGGGTTACATTAACAACTTTTAGTTGAAACAACTTTGTAATTAAGTATGATTTTCCAATAAGTCTTTCTAAAGTAACCCTTCAACCGGTCTGCATAACTTTCGTTTTTTTTTAAATGGAGTGCCCACCTTTAAATAATTACTTACAATAATTTGTTTCAATTATTAGTAAAAAAACTGTTTTATTCAAGTCAAATTTACTATAAAATTTAGTCATGTAACTCTTTTTAAATTTCCGAATGTACTGTGACAACAATAATAATTTCACAACAAATTAAAAATGAAAATCATTCTGTTTGTTCTGTTGTCTGAAAGTAGGGCGATCCATTTTATATCTCTAATATTTTATTTTGTACATTATTTACCACAAAATTTACTTCCTATGTTTAAAGTAATTTTGACAAATCAGTTGAGACAAACACTCAGCATAATTGCTGAGGCTTTTATGGTTACATATTTAGGTCGACATTAACCATCCACGTGCCAAATGCAGCAACCTCCGATCATTAATTATGACGGCAGAATTTAAAAACATTGTCTTAGATGTTCATGTTCACATTGTTGGCGATTTTTTGTACATGGAGATTAGAATTTTCAAATTAATCTACAAAAAAACGTAAACTTTTTGCGAAGTTATTGCACACCACCTGAAATTCCAGAAGAGCATTAACGGCATGTTAAATTTACTCTGTAATAAGCGCACGGAATTTTTATCAAGTCCCACAAAGAATTTCATAATGAATGTATTTTAAAGTTAAAGCACGTTAACAATACTTAATACTTTGATTTGTTGTTTTCTTTGCATTGTAGCTAATTAAAGTACATGAAACATTTTGTTAACTCCATACGCACTTTTTTCGGATGTTTAGTGTCAAAACGAAAAATCTTGTCTTGATTAAAATTTGTTCAAGTTGTTCATTAAGAAAAACTTATCGTGCCCGTGTGGACTTTTCCTTTTCTCTGTATTGTTACTACATTTTCAAAATGAGTTCTTGTTCAGTTACTATATGTGAGTAAACTCCTAATGTACAATTTTTAACAAAGGATGGCGCAACAAAGAAACAACACCAACATAGTTAGTAAATATTATTACGAAATTACTTTTATCAAAGTGTGTTTATTACTATATTTGCAGAAAAAAAAATACTGCATGTAGATCAAACACGAAATATTTTAGCTCAAGTTGTAGCTAATGCCTCGTCAAAAAAACTGCATTCTCTAAATTATTTCACCAATTGGAACAACCGTTTGCTGTTATGCGAAGTGTCTCTTGACGTACATTAAACATGCAACTCTACATTTTCAAAGAAGCTCAAGCTGTAATAAACAAGTTTTTTAAAGTGGGTTGGAGCAAAGTTTGATTTTCATAAAAGCTTTTTTTGTTGAATAAAGTTTCATTTAAACTTCCCACTGCATTTACTCGTGGTCGATTGTACATACAGGAGTGCTTCACACTTCATTCTGGTTACAAATCAAATATTACCAGCCGTTATGAGTGAACTGTGAGAAAAGTTCTTTCTATCCTGCAACACCATTATTTTCAGATGAGGTTTTCGTGCTTAATATTAAATTACACACGAGCTCTCCAAGCATGATAAGCCTATTCAGGTAATTAGCGTCCTTAATCACGGGACACACCAAAATTACAACTTTGGTACTAATTAAAAATTTTCAAACAGTAGTTTAAGCGATTGACACGAATATTGTCTTATACAAAGTTGCAGTAGTTAAAACATACTAGTTTGTTGCGCCCACTCTGATCGATCCTTAATGTTACTTGTTAGCTCGCGTCTACACACACCTTTATCTCAGCAATTACGCAAACAATAAATAACGAAAGAAACTAGTTCGAGTTCTCTAACGACATCATTACGTTGGTAAAAGCGGAGCATTTAGATTTATCGAAATAATTATGGTTTTCGCACTATACTGAAATCTGCATCTAGTCCGAATATAAATATAAAATCTACGCATTTTAAAAATTAATCTACTAAAAACAGTTAATTCCACGAAAAACTCCTTAGTAACAACGAATTACGTTTTAACTGTTCATATTACGTATTTTTTCGAAACTTTTTTAGTAATAATTATTAGAACCTATTACATAAATGACTTTAAAATGGTGAATTAAAAATATTACTGTTACACCGTACGGCTGCACAAGTTCAAACAAAAACAAACTCAAACCCGAATTGTCAGAAATATAACTAAAAAAAGTAAAATAGCATTAAATCATACCTTAAATATAATACAGTTAAAGCAGAGCGCTTCAAGTGCTGTCCGCGGATTATGTGTATTAATCATAATGAGTAACGATTATGGCCCCAATTAGGTTATCCCGCTTGTCTTCACTACAATCTGTACTATGATCATTACTCACACCACAAAAATTCAACAATCAAAATACAAATATTTTTTCACTGAATGCGTAGAAATTTGTTGCTATGCACTCGGCTCATAAACCGCCTGAAATATATGTTGATTTTGTACCTCTAAATATAAAAATATTTTTTCACTACTCAGGTCACCCAAAAATCACTGAAGATTCTTACTTTCTTACCGCTAAAATAAAGATAACTTGTACTTACAAATACATTTTATTGGCAACATGAGCATATTAACAAATATGCTTAAAAAAAATAAATACACAAGAATTAATATAATCTAAAAATAATCTTTATAAAAGATTATACATATCACTGCGTAATTATTATTGCCTTAACAATAACAACTGAGCTATTTACAAGTAAAATTTCAATAGCACTCTTGATCACTAATTCGGTAACAAGAGGATCAAAAGTGCATACAACTATCAACACTAAATAGTTACATGGTGTTTCGTTGTATGTGGTTTGTACATATCTACTTATTTTTATATTTTCAATACTTTTTAAAACTTTTTATTTAACACGATAACATGTAAATACGTCGATCGTTCCTGTTACAAAGAATACACTTTTTTAAGCGTCATTTACTACAGTTCTATAAAACGTCAACCACATGAATGATATGCTACATAAGAGCCTTCTGTAAACGGTCCAAAAGTTCAGTACAAAAATTTTATTCTTAGACTGTTCAATTGTAGTAAATGTGTTTTAGAAATATATAACTGATTTACGAAACTTTCTATCCAATATATAAACATTTAGTTTGTTCACACAGAGTTGACAGTCAAAGCCTTTCTGTTACATCGAACTTTATTAATACAGTGAACATGAAGTGGAATGTAACGATAAATAGAGAGCTTTTCAGATAGTGTTCCTATCACAGTCAAAACCAGTACGCTGTCTCTTATTATCTCTTGTGAAAATATTGGCAGTAATAGGGGTGAAGTTATCTCCCTGAATTATTGTACTTTCAAATATTTTGGCAACTGAATGAAGGCATCCATTTTAATTCTAAATTTTAGTGGAAGGAATAAGGATATCTGGATGAATGGTTTAGGATTCACGATAAAAGATCTATAAAACTCTGTACTGGATTTCATAATAAAAATAAATCTCTTTTTACGTCCCCTCTTCAGCCTTAATTCTAGAAAGTTCGTTTTTTTGTGCTAAGCTACCTCATTCAGACTGAGTACAGCGCACTCCAAATAGAGACCAATTGAACATTTCACTTCATCTTTTAGATTTAGTCGGAGCCAGACATATATACCCGGCTCTGATATCGAAACCGCTTACCAAAAGGTTCATGAGAACACTGTCGCTTGGTTGGCTTATACACGCCGCTTTCTGTCCACCAGAGTCCAATAACCAATTACTTTTGCCTTTAGGTCGCCCTCGATGATGGTTATTGGACATTAACTGTTGTAATAATTCTGAAGACATTTTCTCTTTAGGCTCGTTTCTCGATCTCTTTGTGTTTGTTTCGTACGCCGACGTGTTCGATCTTTTATGTGTTCTTTCTAATCTAGACGCAAGAGGCGATGACTTTCCATTTAGCGAGGAATCTAAAAACAATAGAATGAAGGATATTTTCCACAAAGCTAACAATTTCTGTACTTTTCTTGTTGTAATAACTATCTATCTCCATCATGTGATCCGGCGAAATTAACCCTCCACCGTGATCGTTAGATCGCGAATGTTTATTTATTGACGAACATAACAACTGTGCTAAACTGGAACTGCTATCAGGAGAACTTCTCGACTTTTCGTTGCTATTCCACATGAGATCGTCTGACATCAACAGAGGTAAATCGTCAGCCATATTCATATTTATATAAGGAGCTTTCGACACTAAATCCGAATCCTCTTCTGTATGTAAATTCATAAATGTTGACAGACGATCTTCGTCACTCAACGAATCGCTCGGACTATTTAAGGAGGGTAAACTGCACTCCGAATTCTGGAAAACATTGCACTGAAAATCGTTCATTCCTTCCACCAATCACTACCAATACCTTTGAAAGATTAGGCGAGAGTAATTGAGGTGAATTATCGTACGAATCTCTGTACGAAATAAAGGGATCGGTGGGTTCGTCATTCAAAAGGGGCTCGAAACTATCTCTGAGCAAGAAATCGTCCAACATCTTGTCAGTTAAGAAGGGATGGTCATCTAAGGGAACACACACGTCACCAGCAACTGGAGCCAAATGCGTCAAATCGTCTGGCTCGTCTTTCAGCACTGCAAACGAAATCAATTAATTAATGAATCAAAATCACTGCAATCGATTAAAAAATCCCTCAATAAAAACATTACAATGTTCGAGAACTTATATATTAAATTATTCCATCATGACGGTACTAATGTCAAGGTTTTTGCTGCTATTTATCGACTTAATTACGGATTGAAACTACAGTTGCTAATATTAGACTACGACGAAACAAAGCCAGGAACTTGCCAGGATGATAAACGTACAACATTGATGCTTCCACGTCAAATTGGCTTAAACAGATAAACTACAAATTTTTGCATACGCCCTCAATTATGTAATGTTCACATGATTTAGCAAAGCACCGTCGACCTTCGACGACGTATTGCGAACTTATATAATGCAAGTGATTTTTCAATCTTTAATAAACTACAATGAAATAAAAACAAAGCAACTCACGAATCCAGTTTTTAATTTAACGTTAGTTCGATAACCACTACCACTCATCAAGTTTCAAACTATTTTTATACTACAAATCAGCGTGCTTGCAGTTCTTACACGTAACAACAATTAAAATAAATACAAGACAAATCATTCTACTCGGATAGTGCCTGTTGTTGCTTGAAGATCGAAAGTAATTAAACGAATCTCCCTTGAATTCAAAGTATTTAAATTTAAATTTCAACCGCAGATTTGAATTTCAAACGGGCACGTATTTGAGAATCAAAAATTACGATTCAATATACAGTTAACAATAAGATTTGTGAATGAACATGACATGTAAACCTCAAGGTAGGATTAGTTAAAAGTAGTGTTTTTCCTAACATAAAAATCTATTGCATTTGGTGATTAAAAATGGTGTTGGGATTAATTACTGTTTTCTTAAGTCATGTTTTAATTACTTCCAGTAAGCACTGGATTTTTTTATTCGAGACTTGCACGGTAGAAATAACAAACTAACTATAGTCTTGGAGCAATTTAAATAACGTGCAAAATAATGTGAGTTACGTTGATAATTTATTTCAAAGAATAAAAAAAAAAAACGATTGCACACCTAGACTGATTTATTTTGTCACATATGAAAGAAATTAGAATGTGATAAATTGATGCATTTTTAGCTGTATGGTTACTTAGTTTTATCTCTATAAATTTAATATCTAAGTTGTTATTGACATAACTCGTCGAAATGCGTTGCATTCGAATACTAGTGTGCATAAAGTTAAATGTTTAAAATCAATTTTAAATTTTATTACCATTTACATTTAACCGCAACTGATGTTGCTTTCATTGTTTATTCCAACTAAATTTAAAAATTATAGATGATTACTTGCATCAATTATGAGAATTATCAGTCAAGTCGCAAAAAACAATTAGCACCAGCAAATTCGGTATTGTGGAATATTACGAGTTTAGAATAACAATTAACTCAGATTCACATTACATAACACATTCTGAACAATTTCTTCAAGTTATTCCAAGATAAACATGATAACCTTTATACAAAACAACAATATTGAGTAAATAGTATCGACAGATAAGAACAAGAAAATAAAATTACTTTATTAGAATTCTGGTATTAATTTTAGCGTACGCTTAAAGCACACAATTCACAAAGAAAGTACAATTATATGAAAACATTATGTTTAAATATTTGTAGACGTTTTTATCTTTATTAGACAAACCTACGTATTCAAGGTTTTTTATTTTCGAACGACGAAAAAATTTGCACCAAAATATGACTGCAACAGGAAAATATGTAATCTGCATGAGGTATAATCTTATCAAAACATAAAATGGTCATGGAAACTTTACACGCGTTAAGTAATGTTTTTATCGTAAGTGATTTTCCCCTGTCAGACTTACTCGTAAGTCCGGGCTCATCATCGGAGAAGGTCAGGAATCCCTTATTCATCTCTTCCGTTCTTGGAGCGAATATCTTGGAGGTGGCCGTTAGGGGTGGCCTCGGAGTGGCGTACGACGTTAACAACTTCTCGGTACTTTTGACGGGCTCAATATTTTGAACAGGACCAGATTCGGCCGCTTTCTCCACGACAACCACGGGCAAAATCGTCTCGTCGACGGTGTTGTTATTATTGCACAAATTCTCTGTTTTTACTGAAGCCAGCTGCGACGACGAATAAATCTCATCTTTGCATTCGACGCCACTGCAAAACAAAACCAACTTGCTGGAACGGCCCGTTCAAGAGCCCTTTGCCGACGGTCTCCAAGCTTATCGAAAAACCGCACACACGCGGGAGTTCCGGCAAGGGAAGGCTTTCGAAGTACTAAACGTTTGTTGAACTGGCTATATTGATATATGGCCGCACTATCAACCGCGTGATAATTCCAAGTGGTTTTTTTATCTGCTTGATTTGTTCGGAAGTCTCGATGCCGACTGATTCGGAGGAGTGCCGCACTCTGCTACCCGGTGGAGCAGTCGCGTGGTTGATCCCCACCAAAAGCGGCCGGTGGGCTATATCGAGAACCCGATGGGTTGACAAGTGAATGTGGATAGATCATCATTGTTGCTGTACATGACAGCGCTCACGTGACAGAGCCGACGTATACGTTCAATTGCGAAAAGGAAACGTTGCTGGAGGCACGTGATGGGACTATCAGTTTTTCATGCAATTTTTCGACGAGACCTGGTGATGGAAGGAGGCGGTACGACAATACTCAGACGGAGCGCACGCAGAACGCGTGATTTTTCTAATAATCAAGATCGGCAACCCAGAAATGTTCTATTACGTTATCTAAATCACATAACTCGTTGTGTTGACCGAACGTCTGCATCGACGACAATTTTATAAGTGCGGGTGTTGCCAGGCCAACTAGCGATAGTTACTGCAGCAAAAAATAATACATTTTTAAAGCACGCCGAAGGAGTAATCTTAACCACCAGACTAAGCTTGCTAAAAATATTCCATGCATTTTAAATAAACAAATCACGAGAAGTAAAAGCGTTTCATAGATGCAAAAAACATGCTAAAATAGTCTATTAAACAATTAGAACTCTTGTGTTAAGTTGGTAGTTGCATAATTAACTTACCGGTCACAATTTATTAAAAAGAACTAAATTTGTCATTGTTCTATCCACCTTACAAATGTTTTATTACTAATTTCCATATTACAAATAATAAAACACAGATTTATTGTCGTTCAAAGCCTAATTTTTAGTATTCTGAACTGGACACGTTTGTAGAGCGTGATTAAAATAAAACTACTGTGTAACTTTTTAAAAGTACACAAGATAAATTAATGTGATTAACTTGTTAAAAACAAATATACACTAAATGCTCACTTTCTAAAACATCCCACCAAAAAGAAACCCATAGCACTTTAAAAATACAAAATATGTTTATACAGTTTGTCATAATTTTCTGGTAATTAATCTCACAACCGGATCAAGTGTTTGTAAAGGAAATAATTTAAAAATAATATTACTATTGTCGTCAAAAATCCGAACTCAATAACTTAAACAGTTAATTAAAAGTCAATTAAAAAGAGGGATAATTGGTGCACTCTGTGATTTTCATAATATATAAAAGCGAGTGAAGTGTAGAATGTGAAAAAATTATTTTGAAGTAGTCTAGTACATAAATAATTATAAAATACACCAACTTTAAATTTGTAAATGGCACAAGATTGTTTTGAATTTAATACTCTTTCTACTCAAGTAAGATTTGCCAAATTTCAGAATTTCTGTAAAACAGTCACATGTCAGATTTGTACCGAAAACAGCTCAATTTAACACACTATAAGGAAAGTGGAAGAAAGCAAATTTGGCCTAAATAGACGTGTTTAAGATATTATTTCAAACAGTCGTAAGTTCAGTTTTTAGGTGATGCGTCATGTCTACAAAACTATCTAGACATATCTAAGCTTATGGTGATAATTCAGGAAAATTAAAAAATATCCTTAACTATCACGCTGTAGAAACATGATAATAAAAAACTGACAATAACCCATAAACGAGGTAAATGTAAATGGTTCTTTGATATTGGTTCTTTGTGATCTACTAATTTAATTTTTTGATATTAAATTATGAAATATGTATTAAAAAGATTAGGAAAAATAAAATTTTATTAGAATTTACAGCTGTTTTAATTATATTTTCTTACTCATTCTAAAGCTGATAAAACTAAATTGTTGATATTGCTGTCGTAATAACATAATATACAGCGAGTTTACTGCACTTTGAGAAAGATTAAAACAAATCTAGACTTTTAAGCTGATAAAAATCAACTTACAGATTTTTCAGGGATCAGCTCAAGTGAGTACTTACTGTAACTGACATACAGGAGGTTAGTACTTAAAAACTGTGGCACCACAGAACTAGTGGAAACCGCATTCAGATATTGAGAGTATGTATACGTCATTGTTTTTTTTTTTTGTTTTTTACTTTTAAAAATCGAAAAATATGTTCACAAAATTTGGTGAGGGCAAAAGTTATCACCTTAAATATTTCTCAGATTTGAAATTTTGAGTAGAACATGCAACGATCAAAGACAAACTTTCCAAAATTCATTGCTCTCTTTAATCATGTTTTTATTGCTCTTTCGGTATTAATAAGGAAACTAAAAACAGGTATGTTATATCATTGAAGTTTAAAACATATTAAGCATGCATTTATAAGTATACGTCGTTAGATATCACCTAAAAAAAAAACAAAAAGTGTCCAGTGCGCCAACTATTAAATTAAGGTCCCGTACACTATAACAGATTTTTTTTGTAATAAATGTTTTTTATTATTAGACCGAAAAAACCTAATTTTGTAGAAATAACAGTAAACAAAATTTAAAAATAGCGACAGCGTTGAGAACAACACGAGTTTTCTGATCTAGAACAGCACAATGCTAATAAATCAATTCAATTTTTGTCTCATTTTATATTTTAATTTAACTCATCTTCAGAAACAGTTTACACAATACACTATTTCAAATTCAAAATCGAACCATGACAACTTAACTTCCGTTATATGTATTTAATACGAAAGTTCACAACAATGCAATACTCATGTGATTGGTTGAACATAGCTCTATTGACTACGTTTGCTCTTCCTTCACTTGTTAAATTTGATCACAATTTATAATGTTATAATTTTCGCTAAGAAAGTTCATAAATATTAATTCCTTCCTTAGATATAACACCGTCTATTGCAGACAAAAAATACATCCCAGAACTGTACATATTGAATAAAAAAAGTGGATCAGCACCCCGACAAAAATGTTCAATTTCCGATAAGTTTCCCACCGAGACAAAAATATTTACATTATTTCACAGATAATACTGCGAAATGCGTTTTTCACTATGTTTATTTTAGAACAAATTTCCTTCAGATATCGAAAAAAATCTTACCCACTTCAAAAAAGTTATCGACAAAATAGATTGCACAGATTAAAGCTTGCGCTACATTGCGTTCGACGTCACGTCGATTACACAGTTGCCATGTTTCTCGAATATTCTCCACCGGAAATGAATAAGTGTGAAAAAATAAAACTCACTCCTATGTATTTTAATGGCATTTAACAACGCCCTTATAAGTAACGCTACAAATAAGGGACAAACAATACGAAGACAACGTAGACCAACTCAAATTGCTGGTGTTAGATATACCGTGAGGGTAGACAATTGATCTTGATTGTGCTACATAATATGACGACACCATTTCTATTCGGCCATTAAAACGTCACATGAATTTATTAACCCACGACGCATCTGTCTTAATTAAACCACTTGAGCGGACTGTTTTAAATCTGGAAGCGGAATTTTCTGAGGCAAAACGCCGCTAATTTTCTCGTTCTTTTCCTATTTACTATTCACACGATGTTATACATGGGATCGTAAAACAACTTTTATAACATCGCACCATCATCATTAAATACACGATAAAATGATAATTAATTCGATAAAAAGACGAGTGTTGTAATATTTACATTACAACGTTATTGATACTGATATAAGTACGATGAAAACAGGTCGGTAAATTCTAAAAGTATTACTGCAACATAGTACAAACAGTTTATAATAATATCATTATGGATTATCGGATACAGGAGAAAAAGTGTAGTAATTACAAGTAGTAAAATTTGATGTTAGCAAACGTAATTGCACATTAAGAACAAATATTATAATTTTTATTAATCATAGGTATGTACTACATATTTTCGAACAATTTCCGTTGATAAGCGTGATTGCCTTAACATACAAATCGTAGAAATAGTGTTCCAGTTGTACAACAATAAGTAATACTTGGGCAATTATATTTTTTTTTTTTTGATATGGGACATGGGTTACTTTTCTATTTACTCTTTCATTCGTTGCTTAAATCATATTAATTTAACGTAAGGAAATTTACAATACCTTTATCTTTAAAAGTAACATAAATATTTATGTTAGCATTGTTAGCAACGTTTTTTATATCTTAACTAAAAATAAAATGTAGGTAACTTTTGTTTTTAACGGTCCCTGTTCGGTAAAATGATTGCATTGTTTTTATATTTGTCTATCGCATCTAATCGTAGAAAACGAAAACGAACGTTTTATACATGAATATCCACAAAGAATCAATTTAAAACAAGGTAAAGCAACAAAAGAAACCTTTACACTACAGTTAAACTTTTCCTATAACTTAGGTTTATTTTTAATTATACTTAACTATATACTTTTTCTTCTTTTTACTCGCTTTTCCTAAATTAATGTTGAACTGCATTTAACTTTGCCTCTATAAACCTACCATCATACATGAAGGGTTATAGCGTAGGTTAATTGCATGGGTCGCTGCCTCATACGCATAAAACTGTATACTTACTATCAAAGAAATATGTGGGTTTTTTGCATATTACGTTTTTTTGAATCGCATTTTTAACAAACAGAAAGCGAACAAATTGGTTTCAAAATTTTATATAACATACTTAATTTTACGGTCGTATGACCATATAAGAAGCAGAACAATACCAATTTTGAAGATCACAATATAACTTAAAATTTTGGCTACTTGTATGCTCAGAACGTTATTTTTGTATTCATTAAAATTCACAAATAAATTTAAAAATTCGTAACGTCATTTCGAAGTTAATTTTGTTTGAAATATTCATTAGATGACATTTTTGTCATGTATCCAAAGATGGAAGATAATGCAAATTTTGTAAAATTTAAACGAACT